ACAATTAGGTGAATACAGTAAGAAGAGGTCTTCAATAATAGACTCTGGGATTAAAACTATAGAAGTACATATCAGGAAATGACCAGAGACATCACTAGGGAACAAATTAGGGTGGTACAATTACATATAAAAATCCAGAAAAAATGAAAAGAGAAAACATGGAAAATTTTATCTTTCTTGCTTTTTCCCAAGTTTTGGGGTAAAAGTCTCTAATAAAGCATCGCAATTTCTTTTTCTCCATTAGGAGCAAAGGTAAAATCAAAGTACAAAATAAACCTCCTTTTGTAGAGTTACTCGGTGTTTTAGGAATATTGTGAGTATCCAATGAAAAGCAAATGAAAGCGATAAGAAGACTACAAATTAGATTTGCGGGGACAGTGGTCTCCGTCTCCACTAAGATTCAAACAGGAAAAATAATAATAATAAAAAATTGTGAGAAGAGTATTTGAGAACAAATTTCTAACTGACAGAAGGGGCTGAAAGCCACCAAAATGACATACTAAAAGAAACAGTGGGATTTCCTTCACTAGAGAGTTTTAGGAAAAGAGTATTATTGCCTTCCAATTATGGTTTCATGTCTATTCTCCCCAAAGGCACATGTACTTGAAACCCCTCCTGGCCCCATAAGAGAAGATTCTATGGTCCTAATGAGATTGTGTGCATTAGAATCACTATTCTGGAAAGGAGACGCTAAAGGGTACTCGAATAAAATGTTAAAAATTATGAAGGACATAACAAAGGCCAATCAGTCCTTTCCTTTCCCCAGACCCCATAATATGAGAACAAGGGTTATTTGATGAAATTAAAGAGTAGCAAATTAAGTGCTAATAAAATGAGATAGTCACTTATAATTCATTACCATGGGAGGTCACAGAGGCAAATTTTGTGGCTAGATTAAATATGGAGCTGGATAATTTTATGACCACTAATGATATTTTTAGCAGTGGATTGGAGGCTGATATTGTGAGAGAAGTAATCCTATTACATTCTCCAGTAGAGGGCTCGCAGGGACCTCTGGCAAGTGGTATCTGAGAAGTGTGAGAGCGGGCCTCACGGGTTCTAATCTTTGGTGGGGGATTGTACTAAAAAGTAGTTTGTAAGGCGAATGTCTTCAGATTTCCCACTCATGCTTTAGTCCCAACTTCTCTTACGGAGATCTAAACTCCTTTCTAATCAGAAACAGTTGTGGTACAGAGTTTCATTATTGAAGATGAATATGTTCTGGAGATCTATTGTAAGCCATGAGATTGTAGTTAACAGTATTGTATTGATACTTGAAATGTGCTAAGATCTTACGTGTTTTGAGCACACGAAAAATGGTAAATGTGTGAGGTGACGGATATCTTAATTGTTTGATTGTGGTGATTAATTTACAATGTATATCAAAACATTAAGTTGTATACCTTAAATATATATAAAAAATACTATTTTATTTTATTTTTTTTTAAGAAGCAACTAGGAACGATGACCACAATTAGGTCATTTCTGGACTTTGAGAACCATTAAACTTATTTATTGAATGTCACCCATATATTCACGGGCACATTGGTTGGAGTTTTAGAAAGCCATTGAGAAAATAAACATTTAGACAGATCATTCAGCATGTCATTTATAATGGTGGGAATTGTACTAAAGCTAGACTGTAAAGTAGCATGAAAGCACAAAGACACAAAGGAATAGCTCAACCTGAGAAGATTCATAGAGCAGGTGACACTTGAATTGAGTCTTTTTTTTTTAATTGAGATATAATTGACATATAACATTTATTAGTTTGACGTGTATAAAATAATGATTTGATAAGTGTATTATTGTGAAACAATTACCACAGTAAGTCTAGTTAGCATTCATTACCACACAGTTATTATTTTTTTCTAGTGATGAGAACTTTTAAGATCAGCAACTTTCAAATATACAATACAGCATGAATAACTATAGTCACTGTGCTATACATTACATCCTCATGACTTATTTATTTTATAAATGGAAGTTTATACCTTTTGACTCCCATTTCTCCCACCCTCTACCCCCTGCCTCTGTCAACTACCAGTCTGTTCTCTGTATCTATTAGTTCAGTTTTTTTTTAGCTTCCACATCTAAGTGAGATCATACGATATTTGTCTTTGTTTGTCTGAATTATTTCACTTAGCATAATGCCCTCAGGGTCCATCTATATTGTTACAAATGGCAAGATTTGCTTTTTCGTGGTTGAATAATATTCCATTTTGTATATATAGCACATTTTCTTCATCCTTCATTTGTCAGTAGACAAGTAGATTGTTTCTATATCTTGGCCACTGTAAATAATGCTGCAGTGAACATGGAGGTGCAGAAATCTTTTTGAGATAGTGATTTTGTTTCCTTCAGATAAATATTCAGAAATGGAATTGCTGGATCATTTGGTAGTTCTGTTTTTCATTTTTTGAGTAACCTTCATACTGTTTTCCATAGTGGCTGTACCAATTTTCATTCCCATCAGCAGTCCACAAAGGTTCTTTTTTTCTTCACATCTTCACCGACTCTCATTTCTCGTCTTTTTGATAATGACATTCTGACAGTTATGAGATGACAGCTCACTGTGATTTTGACTTGCATTTCCCTGATGATTAGTGATGTTGAGCACCTTTTCATGTACCTGTTGGCCAACTGTATCTTTTCTTCGGAAAAACGTCTACTCACATCCTTGAACTGAGTCTTAAAGGTTGATAAGAGGTCACCATACAGGCAAGATAAAGAAGGGCATTCTAGGTAGAAGGAACAAGCAGCATGTGCAGGTCCAGAGACAGCACATGACGTAATGTGTCAGTGAACTCCTAGTACTTTGGAAAGGCTGTGCCGCAGGGTTGAATTGTCAGAAACAGAGAAGATGGGGCATGAGAGGGAGAAGGAAGCCAGATCATGAAGATTGCGATTGCCTGAGACCTCTCTCTGGCAGCAGTGCTTCCCATGGTATTGGTAGTGGGTGGGGAGTAGAGAAGAGGTGGGGAGGAGCTTCCAGGAAGAGTTATATGAAATTAAGGACAGCCCCTCAAAGCCTTGTACCATCACAGGCTTTCCTCTTATACTCTTGTCAGCAGCTTCCTTGTGGTGAGCATTGTATATCATCCAACTCCTTGCTTCACTCATTTTTACAATCTACCTGAAACGGTCTTTACCATGAACCTGATCACTAGTAATTAAAAATGAAAGAGAGAGAGAGAGAGAGAGAGAGAGAGAGAGAGAGGAGAGAGAGAGTGAGCGAGCAAGCACCTCCGTTACCTTTGGTTAGAAAGAGGTTCTTATAGGTCTCAGATAAATTGAGATGAGTCTAGTATGTCTATCTGGTATATGATATTTTCTTGGCCTCTACTGAGAAGGAAAATCAGTCTCTGTGTGGATAAGAAGAGGCAGATTTCATTTGCCTGACCTTAGACTCCCAACTCTCTGTGAACTTGTCTACTGAGAAGGAAAATCAGTCTCTGGGTGGATAAGAAGAGGCAGATTTCATTCGCCTGACCTTAGACTCCCAACTCTCTGTGAACTTGGCTCAGCAGACAAGCAGGAAAACCTACAGTGTCTTTGAGGAGCAGATGGATTGAAATGTTAAAAATCTGTTTTGTTAGAAGATTTCAGCTAACAGAATAATTTAATTAGAAACAAAAAGCACCCAAACTCTTCAGTGATATTTAAATAAGAATATCATTATTAATCACTCGAAAGCTAACTTGGATTCTATACCATTAAAATTGATAAGAATCAAGTGGAAGAGAGAGAGAAAGAGAGAGAGAGAGAGAGAGAGAGAGAGAGAGAGAGAGAGAGGAGAGAGAGAGAGAGAGAAAATGTCTTTTGTAGAAACTGATTTTCTTGGTGATTTTATCTTTGTGGTGGATGCACGTACTTTATTATTATTTGTGATATTTCATAGTACAGTATGCAATCAGCAGTTTTCCCCATCACATTATAAAGAAATGTAGAATTGTGACATATTTCCTCATCAATAACCTTTTCTGCAGTAGTCCTTTAAGGCTCTTATACGATTATTGAAAAACATGAGGTTGCTAGAGGGTTATAGAAGTGAGGTTAGTTATAGAAGGTAAAGGGATATGTGCTCAATTTACTGTGAAGCCGCTTGTGTTTTAGAGTATTGATGAAGTTGAAATGCACGGTCACCAGATGCTACGTTTGGTGTTAGACACTCAAAGATGAATAAGGTCATGACTCACAATATAAGAAGCACAAGAGACAATTTTATTGCAATTCCTTGATGTATTAAATACAAATTCTGTAGTAGAGGTATATACAAATGTTGGCTCTATCTGGGGAGCAGGCAGTGTTTTCACAAAGTAAAACACTTAACTGCGTCTTAAAGTAGAGATGACAGTCAACCAGAAGAGAACGGAGGGTGGGATGGAGGTAGGAGAGAGCATTGCAAAACCGAAGCAACAGAAATGTCTCCTGGAATTTTGAACAGTTTGTTTTTTCTTTTCCTTTTTCTAACTTCTGTTCTATTAGTGTTATAATTTCTAATACATTCTGCAAAATTCTCCTTTGAGGGAAGAATGGGCTGTATCATATCAGCGTCTAGTAGATATTAATCTTGTCAGTAAGGGGGTAGTGATCAAGGATTCCTTTAAGCCCCAACATTAATTCACTTAAATATGTATTAATCATTTGCTTTCCTGGACTGGGCACTCACACATAAGTCTTTGCTGTCAAAAGTGAGGCACGTGGTATGGGTAGCACACTGAACATTTCCCCCCATTGTTAGACATATCTTTGTAATGAATCGATAACAGGTTCTTCCAGTTCCAAATGTACTTAATTTTGCATGAAGTATGCCTTTTCACGACTGGGCTGCCTTCAACAAGGTTATTTATTTGTAGTTGTGTGAAAAAGAAACATAAGCTTTAAAAGAGCTTTGATGCCAAATGATAAATAAATCCTTTCAAGGACCATGTAAAAAATAGGTGAATATATTTAATAAAACTTTCAGGTTTTAAAAAGTATTCTTTATTCCCTTTTAGACCTCAGCTGGATCTCCAAAATACAGGTGAATCAACCAGCAGTTCTGAGGCGTGCAGAACAAATCCAGGCTCGCAGAACTGTGAAAAAGGAGTGGCAGGTAAGGGTTCTCCTTGAGCATTCTCTTCCTGTAGCTTACAATGCCTGGGCTCTTCCCTCAAGGCCACAGTATTGAATTTCGCTCAAGATGCATCTGAACTTAAAAGATTGCAGCTGTCCATGACTTATTTTAATAATTCATATATGATGATGATGGGTTGGAGAAAGATAACACATTTATCCAAACAAGTTAAAAAGCTTATCACTCTTGAGTGGCAAAGCCGCAAATGAATCTGAGGCATCTTTATTCATGAGTGAATTAAATGGCATATTTTTGCAACACATTTATTCGGTTTCTTAGACATACCTTCTTTGGTTGTCTTCTATTTTAAATTTCAAACCATAACATCTAAACCTGGTGTGCCCACGAGTGAGACCCTTATGTATAATAGTAGTTGACCACCTTTGACCATTGTGTTTCCCTTACTATTAATTTTCATAAATAATTTTTCAAATTTCAAAAAATGATGTTTCGTGGAGTGCTCACGGTAAGCATATTCTTCCACGTATATCAACCAAAGACGTGCTATGCATCACAGGACTAAAAGGAATTCAGAGTTCATTTTGCAAGTGAGGCAAAATACTGTGATTGAATCCTTTTGGGTGACATCTCACATTTTGTTCATCCTTGGAAATATTCTGATTGAAAAGATAAAAGGATATTCATCAGAATGAGTTGCGAAATATAAATGTTGTTTGAAAAATGAAATTGGATTAAATTGAAACAAAGAAGTTAGAGACTCTTTTTATAATGTCTCATCCCAGATCCCATGGCTGGAGGTAAAATGTAAGATAGAAACGCTTTTGTTCCTACGACCTCCTATTGAGGGGCTCCTTGTGAATGAGATGGAGAAGTCAGATGTGGGGAGACTTGATTGCTTAGAGTTTCATTTTGGCATATCTATGGGAGAAAAAAATTTAAGGCTACTCTCCTCCCTTTTATTTTATTCTATGTAATGTTCTTCTTGAGCAATGTTTATATCATATATTAGAATGATATGCCTTAGAACAGTATAGATATCAGGTTTTAGCACGCATGTTTGCCTGATGATTCTCTACTAACTAACTGGATTGGAGATTAATTTATTTTTTAACATCATTTTTACTTTTTTCTCAAACCAGGCTGCTTGGCTCCTGAAAGCTGTTACCTTTATAGATCTTACTACACTTTCGGGCGATGACACATCCTCCAACATTCAAAGGCTTTGTTATAAAGCCAAGTATCCAATCCGAGAAGATCTCTTAAAAGCTTTAAATATGCAGGATAAAGGTAATGTTGTGTATAATGTGTGGTGTTTACCTCTTTACAATACTGAATATTAAATTTAAGAGGACTTAAGACAAGATTCAGCTGCTAAAACTATAGCAACAATAAAATTCATGATAGCATTGTATACATAGACAAATAATTGAGATTGTTCTTTGAAAGATAGCAGGGGGAGAATCTGAGTCTCATTTTTAGGTCAGTTCTTTCCATTGTGGATTAAAGTTGCTGGTAGAGAGTTTCTTGATTTTTCTTTCCAGTTCTTTAGTTTTGGAAGTTTTCTATCTAGTGATTCTGAAAATGCTGATTCTGATTCCCTACCCACATGTGAAAAAGCCGATCTCATTACTTAATAATTACATCTCATGCATAAAGTATTTTCTGTGAGTAAATGAAATACTGTTGAGAATAAAATGCAAATGGGAAACATTACATGCTTGTATATTAGGTTAGATCTTTTGAAAAAAGTTTTATTCACTCTTTTAGTGTACATGAAAGAGAGGACTTTCTAAAGTTGCCATAAGTTTAGAACCTTAACGTTTTTGAAATGGAAGAGACCTTTGAGAATCCATCACCTTATTTCTAAATGAGGAAAACGAGACATGGAAGGCAAAATGGTGTTTCCAAGAAAACGTATCTTGTTACTTGCTGGGCTGATTTTAGGAGCCAGGTCTTTCCAGGAAGCGTTGCTCCATGGTTCCTGAGTGCCTGTCTGTGATGAGTGCAACTGGAGATGTTGCATTGGCCCAATGCAGGTATTTTATTCCAAATAATTTGTAGATAACTTGCAGACCTAAGAAACGCCACAGCTTTTGAAAAATATTTATGATGTTTCTTTTAAGTTGACAATAAAAACACCACCTGTTTATTGCACTTCAAGGTAACAACTTTGGGGGAGAGGGGCTAAAAAAAGTAACAACTTTGTATTAGTCTTATGGTATTATGTTATTGTTTTGTTTTATGGTGCCTATTCGATCTTTTAATTTTTATTTTTACGAGCTTATTCCTCAAAATGGGGGTTCCAGATTCATGTTTTATTATTTCTTGTAAAAGAAGAGAGATTAGTTAAGTCATTTTGCTGTACCACCCTGTAAGGTTCACTTACTTTTTTCTTCATCCACTGTTTGTTTGAATGCTACAAAAATCTGGATTTTGTTATTTACATGAAATAAAATATTTTCACCGAGTTTACTATTTAGGAATTTTTAAAAAGGAGTCTTGTTACCCTCACAGAATGATGTATCACAATTGTTTTATCCAAGGACTATAATGATGAGAAATTGATCCATGTCCTCAAGAACTGGAAGGGAATGTGGAAAGTAAAAACCTTTTAATTTGTTACAGCATCGTAGGGGAATTTTTTTCTCTCAGTTTGATTTCTGCCAGTGTTGTTCCATAAATAATAATTAAAAGCATATTGTGCAAATCGAACTTCACATACAGAAGGCTGCTATGATTTCTTTTTTCATAGGCATCACTACAGCTGCTGTTTGTGTCTATCCTGCCCGCGTGTGTGATGCGGTGAAAGCACTAAAGGCTGCAGGCTGTACTATCCCAGTGGCATCAGGTAAAATTGGTGTGACTTTTGTGGTTTTAAAGCACGTTCCCTGTCTTTCACTCAGACACTTTGGGGTATTATGTATAGTTTTATACTGCGATTTTAATTAGTTTCATATATTTAATTGGTTGTATTTATTCATTCTTTTAGTATTTATAAATTGCCTTCAAGTAGCAAACATGGTACTAATTCTCAAGAATGTATCCCTGTCTTTAAGGAAACTTACTTGTTTAGGAGGAATAGTCAAGTTAAAGAAAAACATGATGCAGGATATGTAGTATAGTATATATGTGTAAAATATGATAATAACAATACGCAGAAGGTACAGTTGTACCTCAGAGCAGGGAGTGATTTATTCTGCAGAAGCTGGTGACACTCAGAGAGTAAGGGATTGCTTCACAGAGGAGATGATAACCACACTGGGTCTTAAAGGCTCAAGAGAAGTTTACAGTGTTGATAAGATAGGGAATGGCTTTTAGACAGAGGAACAAACAGATGTGGAGGCACAGAAGCATGTTCAGGGAACTGAAAGTGGTTTGCAATTGTTGGATCCTAAGGTAGGACAAAGCAGGACTGTGGGAGTTTAAGCTGGAGATGTATTGAGAGACCACACCTGGCTGTGGCATCTGGGCTGTGTTCGGGCGATAGGGAAAGCACTGAAGGGTTTTAAGCAGAGGCAGGCCATGATCAGCTTCATGACATACTGAGTACACATTAGAGAGGGTGAAATGGAGTTAGAGAGACTTACACAGTCCATGTGGGAAATGATGAGAGCCACCCCAAAGCTTGGAAGATAAAGAAGAGAGAGGGTATGTTTAAGGGTTATTGACTTAATATAGACACAGTAGGACTTGGCATGAGTCCTACTTCATGTGTAAACGTGTGTGTGTGTGCGCGCACACACACGCGTGCGTGCACCTGCCTCTTACCAGATGGATGGACAAGCGTAAAATTAAATTCTACTTTTAAAAGATGTTAGAAGATATTTTGGTGCTTTAAAAAAGAAGTCTATAAAGATCATTAATTTATTTTATTAGAAATACATCAAAGCAATAGAGTATATAGTATTTATATATAACTCGTTTGTGAAGATTCTCAAAGTATTTGGCAGTTACACCTTTATCAACCTTAATTTTTCATTGGCCTCAGTCAGTTCAGCTTTTCCTTTATACAACAGGGGGACGTGCTTTCCTCTGAGGTAGCAGACCCAAGGAATTTAATAACATCAAAGAAACACAAAAGATTATCTTTAGATTCCAGGATGTAATTAATGAAGCTCATGTAAAAATTGTTAATACTTTTTCAAAAGTGTTATTGTATGTCCACTTTCCTTTTATTTATGCTTGTCCCTGTTCTTCCCAGCTCTGCCCCTGGCCCAGTTCTGTGGACTAATCAGGTGCTTTTCTTCCTGCTGTTTTCTTCCCTTTAGTCCCATCTGCCTGGCTGGTTGTTTTAAGATTGGAAAGGGAGGAACCTACATTTCAATTTGGTTACAACAGCTAAAACTGTGGTTGGTAAATCAAGGATACAGTGATGGTCAACTGATCAAGAGTAGGATCTAGAATTATTAGTGTCCAGCAAGACAGGACTACAGCTACTATTTTATGAGCATCAGTGTGATGATAACATATATTTTTTTAATTGCCATTTACTCAGAGAACCCTCATGGTCATCTCTGAAACAATTTAATTTCAGATCTTCTAAAGGATAAAATGCTAATATCTGGCCTAACACCAGTACTATATAAGATAACATTCTGTTTCTTCGCACTTAACTTTTCAGGATATTCATGAAGTTCTTAAGTGTCATTAAGGCTTTCGTCTGTAAATGCTGAATTTTTTGTCTGAAATTCTTTGTTGAGATACTGACCAATTGAAATTCCTTCCTTTCCTTTTTTTCCCTTTCTCTCTACTAGTGGCTACTGGCTTTCCAGCTGGACAGACTCATTTAAAAACACGATTAGAAGAGATCAGATTGGCTGTGGAAGATGGAGCTATGGAAATTGATGTGGTAATTAACAGGACCTTGGTGCTGACAGGCCAGTGGGAAGGTAGGTGTATGTCCTTACCTGTTCTTCCCTGGTGGATCAAATAGTGGCGATTTGGTAAGAGACAGCATGTTTTGGAAGTCACTAGTCTAGATTACAAGTCACTGGTTCAGAGGGTGAATCTAGGAGAAAACCTGGCTAGGGATTACTCATCCTTTCGCCCTTCATAAATCTAGAAAGTTGCCTACCTGTATGAGTTTTTTTAGATCCTTTTGAGTGCTTAGGTGAATAGTTAGTTCCATGCAATAAATTAACTTTTATTTTGTTCTGTATTGTTTTGTTATTCAATACATAAATCACTCCAGGCAAGTCTTTTATGCAGTTTATTTTAATATGGTAGAGGAATATTTCTTTTTTTATGTTAATCTTTGTAGATTTTTAAGATGTGAAATTATTAATAAGTCTAGATCTGTTTTTACTCCTATTATTCTTGCACATAGCTTCTATGAATATTATTTTATATTCACCTTTGAGATTCATGATTTACTGTCACAGATTACAATAAGATGTCACCCATTCCAGTAAAAAGCTATTGTTTTTTATAACTAGGTAGTAAAGAAATAGATTTTACCTGTCTCAAAAATATTTTATAGACTAGAGATCACTGATAGCTAAAATAAGTATTATTCTCTATTTCAAAAAAAATTATTATAATAAGTAGTTTAACTAAAAGTTTTTAACAATATCATAAGATAAAACCAGAATAATATACTATCTCTTTCGATATGTTAACACCAAATAAAAGGCATATTTAATTCTAATTATGGAGGTTATCCCTGCTCACTGTTAAAAACAGAAATTCTCACCAGTAATAAAGGAAATGGACTTTCCACTTGATCTCATCTAGAAATAATGCCTGATAACACTGCAATCTACAACTTTCCAGATTTTCATACACACACACTCACATGCAACTCCTACCCTTTTTTAAAGTTTAAATAAAAATGAGATTATATCTAATGTATTTTTTCTTAAGATATTTATTGGAGTTGCCAATATCTTATGGATGGATATCTTTCTCTAACTTTATCTATCAATCCATCTATCTTATCATCTGTAAATCTTAATTCCATTGTTTATCTAAGAATTGTTTTTGGTTATGGAGTAGCAAAGATGCAGTCAGTCAAGGATTTATTCTCTTATATAAAGTGTGGAAGTTGGTATTTCAGAGGTATTGTGGCAGCCCCGCAAAGTCCTTGGAGACCTATGCTGCTTTTGTCTTCCACTTCTAAAACATGTGGCTTCTACTCTCATGTTCAAGGGCACTTCGTTATTTCAGTTTTTGAAGCTCCAGTCTTTATACTCATCTGCTAGACAACAGGAAAAAAAGGCTCGTCCTGTTCCAAAATCTCACTTACTTTTGCTTACACCTTATTGCCCCAAACTGAGTTACATGGCCATGTGGGGCTGCAAGTGAAGCTGGAAAATGTAGTTTTATCGCTTGGAGTTTTGGCTACATTTCTGTACATTCTTAATAAGTTAGATTGTATACATTTTTGTGCTCAGATGGAGAGGAATGACAGAAGTACTGGCAGGGAAGGTGTGCCATAATGAGATAAACATGATGAGATAGTAAAAAGCTTACATAACAGCAAAGGATCAGGCAAAACAACAATAACAACAAAGGTTCAATAAGAAGATATACACTGAAGTCAAAAAGCACAACGGTGTGGACCAGTAACTGTGGGGCAAGTCATCTCTGAGATTTCATCACTGAGACAATCACTGTGTTCCAGGATAATACAATCAGAGACACAACAGTTTGAATGATCAAAAAAAAAAAAGAAAGAAAAAAAAAGTTGAGGCCATTCTCACTTTCACTGCCTTACATTCCCTTTATACTCATCAACATTTTTAGTCCTTGCCAGGTTTAAGTTTTTGACAGTTCACATATACCTTTTTGTGCTTTTCATTTTTGTTTCCTTTCTTACGGTCCATGTGTGTTTTGGCCAATTGTAATCATTCTTCAAAGGCCTATTTTGTCCCTTGTCTTGACATATTAATTCCACTTGTCTGTTTTTAGTCACAGATTTTAGTTAAGAGCTAAGACTAGAGAAAGAGAAAATAAAAATGGGTAAGCATTAAAATCTGGAAATAAACTTAGTGATTCGGTTAGATAAAAAACTACATGCCCTTTATGTCTTTTATTAAGAGCTGTAGATTTAGAAGTATAGTTTATATTATAACTTATGTTTTTGTCTCTAGAATACTGCTCATTGAAAATTAAATACAGTAGGAGAGAGGTTTTGATGTAGTTGGCAATCCTTAATGAACTAGAAATGGTTGTTTTTAAGAACTGATTATTTCCCAATAACAGGCATTCATGCAAAATATAATAACATGTCTTTGTCCTAGACCACACTTTTCTATTAACCCTTTTGTATGGTGTTAATAACCTCTTGACCCAAGGCAAATTGAAAAGGAACATTTAATACTAGAAATTTAATTCTAAATAGAAATCTGCAATGACTTAGGACTTTTTCCACTGCAGTATTTTGTCTTAGTTTCGGTTCTCAACCTGATTGCATATTGTATTTTTCAGTGTCATGTTTTAATATTAGCTGTTTACTAAAATATAAGCCTAAAATTGATTTCTTGCAATTTGCCTAGGGAAATGTCTGTTGGGCTATTACACGTTCAAATCCAGGTCTCTCTCCTCTGTGCACTGAGGTGTACATAGGATACTGGTTAAAGCACAAAAGAAAGCATTCTGTTTTTAAAATCTAGCATTCAGAGTGGATCCTAATTCTTATGGTTACAAGGATCCACAGTTTAGGGTATGAACTCAAAGAGGAGACTGTAGGGTGTTCATATTTTTCTTCCTGGATTCTCCTTGGTGACGATTTTAAATCTCTACTTTCCTTAAACCTCTAACCCTTCTGCCCACCTTGAGGCTCCTTCTCTCTTAGCAAGCAGATGACCTACCTACCTGCTGCTTCTCAGAGAAAATGGGAACCATTAGACAGGAACTCCCTCGAGGTCCTTGCACCAGATCTGCTTCCTTCTTATCTCTCCCTCTGTTAAGTCCGATCCCTCTGTTGTGCCGTGGCTCTCATCTCCTCCGTTCTCAGAGCCCCTACTCCATTCATTGGCCATTTTTTTCTCCTGTATCTTCAGCCAAACTTCCCCTCAAAGTCTGCACACACTCTCCCTGGGAAAGCTCATGTCGTGTCTGATCTCACCAGTATTCCCTATGCTGAAGACTGCCAAACCTCCTGAATGTTGGAACTGTGTCTGCCTGACTCCAGAACTCATATTCCATTTCTCCACTAAACCATGTTGCTTTTCATCAGTCATTTTTACATAAGTAGACATTCAAAATCTGAATCTTGACCAAAACAAAGAATCTAGCCATTTTAGAAAGAAATTTATTTAAAAATATTTACATTTCCCCTGACTTTAACACTTTCTATTAAATACAATTTAATATCAGGACTGTTGCACTCATAACTGCATTATCCTGGAATGGAGTGATTCTCTCAGGGACCGCTGAAATCTCCGAGATGACTTGCCCCACAGCTAATGATCCAGACTGTTGTGCTCTTTTTTCATATGTCTTTTCATTTAAACATTTTTGTTATTGTTGTTTGGCCTGGTCCTTTGCTGTTAAGCTTTTTACACTTAAATCTCGTTTAGCTCATATGGCACACTGCGCTTCCCTGCCGGTTCTGCCCTCACTCCTTGCCATCCAGGCACAGAAACGTACACCACTAACTTACACTCGGACAGTAGTTTTAAGTGGCTGGGGTATGGAATGTATTGCTGGTTCTCTTAATCACTTTCAAATTTCTTGCCCCAACTCCTCCTCTCCTTTTCACAGAATCTTGCACTGCCCCCACCACCCCACTTTCCAGATATATGTTAATATCAGAATTGGGGGTTGGATGTGAGAGAATAGGCTCCTATACTGTGAAAATCACTCCAGGTGATTTTGATTCTACCTGCACACCCAGTCTTCACCATTCCATAAGTCTTGTGGAGAAGCTCTAATTTAGAACATTAAAAAAAAAAAATACTTCTAGTTCTTGGTTCTACATGGTTTAAGTGCAGGATAATTGAAGCATTGTTAAGTTTACATATTGATTAATTAGTGCAAATTATATTTCCCATGAATTTCTATTTATTTAGCCTGACTCTGCAGTTAACCGTAAACAGGATGCTTAAGGAATACAGTGTTAGACTCTGGTGACTTTAGCCAGAAAATACATTTATTTCTCTGCTCTTCATAAAAAGACAGTTCTCTTCTCCCTGGGGTGGCTGTGCTTTGGGATGAGGATAGCAGCTCGGGGTGGGTTGGGGAGGTGCTGTGCTGGACTGTGAGAGAGGTGGGGACCCCAGGCAGCCAGATAGGCCAGTGATCACTGGGTCAGTCAGACCCAGAATGTATACACTGTGGAGTAAGAAGGGAGGCTAGCACTGGGAAACGGGAAATGTTGAGAGCAGAGTCTTTGCACTAGACAGACTTTGATTGGAATCCCGGTGCCACCATTAGTAGGCATTTTCTCTTGGGCAGGTTGCTTCTCTGTGCCTTCTGATCCTTCTCTGTAAAATAGCAAAAATGGCATGTGCTTCACAGGGTTATAATAGGGATTAGGTTAGATAATGTGTGTAAATCAGTCATCCAGGTGCTTGGCCCAGATGACTTCCTCCAGGCCAACTGTACTTTCTTCTCATTCCCCCTCCTCCTTCTGATGATGAAAATATGTTGTCAAAGGAAGTAACCATATAACACATGTATTGAGTAAATGAAGTGGAACTCTAAGGACTTGGGATTTTGTCTTTGTAATTTTGCTAATTTACACCTAGTTCTTGGGCAAAAGCTTCACTTTTCTCTGCCTCCATTTAAATAGGCTACCGATGGGGCGGGGAGGGGGGATGGCAGGGGAGGATAAGACCTAAGACTAAAGGATTCCTACAGCCCTTTAGAACTGTAATGGCCTGTGATTTTATATTTGGTGTTTTCATTGTCCGTGAGTATTATTCCCATAAGTGCTTGTAATATG